CTCCTAAGCTGGGCGAGGGGCTCCGACAGATCCCAGGAACGACATCCGAGCTCTCTGTCCAGAAGAGGGCAGAGCCAGGAACAGCCCAGATCCTGCACAGGACCCTCCAACTCCCAGTCCTCTGGTAGAGGACCCGAGACTGAGGAAGACACAGACCACCCAAAGGGGTGAGAGGGGAATATTTTTATATGTATATGGGTTGAGTGTGGCAGAGAAATAATGACAAAAGCCCCCTTTGACATAATAGCACAAAATCAGTTCAGCCCAATGATTTCATTGCTAAAATTTATAAGCAATTCCAATAGAAGGGGGGGGGGGGATCCTAAAGTTAAACACACACCCACAGCAAGACACACACCCAACGCAACTCATGTCAAAGGGGTGGAAAAAGGGCCGTGGGGGGTCATATGCAGCTCGCCAGCATTCCTCTTGTGATCCCGAGTCCCCTCCAGCAAGAATGGGGCCAAAAAATGGCTTTTTTTGCACGGGGTGTTTGAAGGGCAAATGGATACCTCTAACCTGCACGGTCATGTGACAGTGTGCTTTACAACCGTGTTGCTTAGCAACAGAGTCGCTGGTCCCAATTACCGTCATTAACCAAGGACTACCTCCTGACCACTATCACCTCCATTCAAAAATTGTGGAATGTAATTTCTCATGTCAAATGGACAGATTTTTTTTTTTAAACTATTATATGGAAGATCTGGATGAATTCTGGCATTTTTATTTTACATTGATTTTTGGATGATAATGATCCGTTTTTATTATTTTCTATATTAAGGTACAAATGCTATTTATACCATCGAACAATGGCTGTATTACCAAGTACATCATTTGATGACAATTTGATTTGAACCACTGGAATTTTCAGCTTTAAAGATACCTAATTTATTCAAAATGATCACTAAATCTTTTGAGGGAAAAAAGCCCACGAAATGTGTTTATAGATTCTTGTCATTAACAAATCAAAGTGATGTGAATATGTTAAAGACTGAGCGGAACAAGGAATTGGAGACCTCCACTTTGTCTGAACAATGAGAAACTGTATTGTTTTATATATAATT